ACGATCCCCTGGCAGCTGGCACAGAATCTAACCGCAGTCAGCAGTTACAGTACCCCTCTCCCAGAACCAACCCCCAGTACCACAAGCGTGTGTTCGTGACCCAATCCCAACAACACCGATCCGCAACTCCAACGCATCAATCAATCCGTAGCCCGAGACGCACCTGCGGCCGTGGCTTGCAAGCGCCCATAGCGCGGGCTCACGCGGAAGAGGGCCCTGACGCCGCCGCGCAGGCTGGCCATCTCGAGGCCGGCGAGATCCGCCGCCCGCGACCTCAGGCCGCCGCACCACCCACCGTTGCCCGTCGGCATCCGCACGCTGCAGGGGTTGTTGACCGCCGGCGACCTCCGATCGCCGCTCCACGAAGCGACGCACCCGCCGCCCGTTACAGCGCAGCGTATCATCTTCTTAACGATGGTGACTGTTCCTGCGATCGCACATCACCACCACCACAGAAAATTTTACCTCGTATAATTAAAAATAGGTTAAAATAAAAAAAAAGTCGCTACAATTTAGCGTTGAGTTGACTAGTGGCAGTGGGTACTAGTAGCAGTACTACGTTAGCTTGCAGATTGGGAAAACGACTAAAATTAATCCGAGACCTCGCGGCCGTACCTTCGATTAGAAGCTCGGAAGAGCGGTGAGGTCTCCGTTTGGGGATTCGAAATGCGATTATATGATAGGACGACGAGGGAGACGAAGACGACGATGCCTTCGCAAGATCCGATAGTTGCGAGGCAAGCAGCGGATGAGGCCGGAACTTGCCGAATCCTCTCCTCCCCCACTTTTCAGTTTTTTTTTTCAGGATTCTTTTGGCACGGCTGTTGGTGGCTACACGACTTGGAATTGGAGGACTTGCCGTGCTGGCAACGACGTCGACACGTGCACCGGATAAGAAGCGTCCGAAAAATCGATAACAGCAAATTTTATCGGCGACCGCCGGATGCCAGGATGGGTGCACGATCGGAGCGCTGTTCCGGACAAATTGATTGTCGTTCATCCGTGATTTCCAATTAAACTGTAAAAACCTACATTTAATACTCCACAGGAAAAATTGTGAATCAGAATTTGGATGGCATCTAACCAAGGCCTTGGAATTGGAAGACTTGCCGTGCTGGCAACGACGTCGACACGTGCACCGGATAAGAAGCGTCCGAAAATCGATAACAGCAAATTTTATCGGCGACCGCCGGATGCCAGGATGGGTGCACGATGGGTCGATGGCTTCCTTGGCGACGGAGAAAGCGATACGCATACCCATGCGGCCTGGTAAGACGTGTGCTTCAAAAATTGGCCCAATCGAAAGCTACAGTAAGGCGACCTGAGACTTTGGCACTTTGCCCAGTATCAATATCAGCTCGGCCCGGGACTTTGCCCAGTTGTGCCAGGCGAGAGCGTAAGTTTTGTCTTGTCTACGTGTCGTTTTTATTATGTACTATCAAATATGCCGTTGCAACGGAAAAACTATCAAATATTTATGGGGATGACGATAGGAATGGTACATGTTATTTATGTTTTACTCTGTGTAAAATTCAAACATATAATTTATTTTATGATGAACATGTTATCCATAATATAAGTTAATTTCTCAATAATATGATAATGTATCAAATTAAAATACAAACTTGATATATTTTTGTCATGTTGAAAAGCACATAAATATTTAGACTTAGATACATCATAACTTTATTTTTTATATTCTATTCATGTATTTCTTTGATCGAGTTTCGTGATATTTGAGCACTCGAAAATCAATAGTTCTAATATATGATTAAAGTCGACAAGGACTCAAGGAGTTAGTTGCCGACACGTTAGAGATTGGTTTGTTTGTTGATAATTATGACGGGAGACTTCTCTTGATTTTTTTACATGCCAGCCCTCATCGGGGATTGCAAAAACACATTTATTTAGACCCGATTAGACAAAAACAATTAAAAATTTTAGTTCATAATTTGATTAAATAGACCATTGGTGAATAATCTAGGTTTTAATAAGAACAAATTTTATTTCTAGTCAAAACTACATCAATAATTTGGTAGTGATTGCCCGTGAGAAATGGTCAATGGTTTAGGGACACATAATATTGTATTTATTATTTATTTATATGTTACTATGAAAAAAGGAATAACTCATAGTGAGAAAACAGACGGTTATTCCGCCTGAACATCCCAACACCGCACGGTTACTCGTCTTGCTAACAAAATATTCTCACAAGCAGCCTTGAATGTCTTCATCCTCACATCTATCCGATCTTATTAATTCTCTCCTATATTATCATCTCATCTAAGTTTTCCACCGTCCACTCTCGCTGCGCGGCGTCGCTGATGGCAAGGCCGTTGTTTGCCGCTGCTGCAGCTCCTCGACTTCGCATGTGGTGAGCTGTGGCTGCCTTCCGCAGCCGATGTGGCTGAGTGGCTTCGTGCTCCGCCTCCACCCATGCCCGTACGCTCCAGAGCTTCACTCGTCACTGGCGATAGCTTCCGCGCTGGCCGCTTCGATCGCCATGCGGTTCCTGCCATGGCTCCATAACCCATGGACGCATCGTATGAGCACAGCGCTACCACTCCCACCACCATCACCGCTCACGTGCCGGCCTCTCGCGGTCACGGTGGCCACCAGTGTAAGTAGAAGCGTCGGGCCCTGACGCGGAAGCCTTTCGGCCTCGCCTCCTGCTACGGCTATGGTTCCCCGCTACAAACGGCGGAGGAGGCCGCACCGAGATACGTCACATGTTGCAAGCGTGTGTTTCAAAGTGTTTTAGATACTTTAGAAATATGTTAAGTGTTTCATCTGTATGTTGCAAAAATAGATCAGGATGTTGCACATGTTGCATTGGCTATACACATATGTTTCAAGTGTATGTTCGAAATATTTTATCTGTTTTATACGTACGTTGCAAGTGTTTTATTTGATGTTACAAAACTAGATTGGGATGTTGCATAAATATGCAAGCGTTTTAGATGTTTTCATACGTATGTTGCAAGTGTTTCATCTTGATATTTGCATATGTTTACAATGGTTAAACACATGTTTTCAAGTTTTTCTGGTGTTTTGTAAAGCGTTTCAGACGTACGTTGCAAGTGTTTTATCTGTTTCGGACGTATGCTGCAAGTATTTTTATCTGGGTGTCGCAAAAGTAGGTCAGGTGTTACACATGTTGTAATGGAACCCACCTGCTGCAACTGCTGGGGCACCAGTGTGGGTCTCTACGCGGACGCTTGAGGCCGGCAGATGCATCCGCGGTGCGGCATCCACCGGCTGAGGCAGGTAACTGGGACCCACGTGGGTTCCTGTGTGCGGGTGCGGTGATCCGGCGAAATAGTGTGAGGCGATGGTAGGGCGGTATGCAATGTGGGATCCACACGGTGTGGTGCGTCAAAACAGACGGCGCGAGCTTTCTTTTACGTGCGGCGTGGCCTTCCACATAAAGGACCGGAGATGTCCGATATTTTAGAGCGGCTCGGGACGTTCTGACGCTAGTAAGCAGTAACGCCCGTTTGGGAAGGGTGGAACTGTAGCAGCAGAAGCAGTGAAAGCACCCATGCGCTCACGCGCCGAGTCCCTGTGCGGACTGCGGAGGCTGCGTGCGCCGCGGACTCGCGTTGCAGGCCTGCTGGAGTTGAGAGGGCGTGACGCCAACGTGGGTGGCTGGCTGGCTGGCTCAGACTCGGAAACGGAAAGGGGAGGCGCCACGCCAAGGCCCAAGGGCAAGGAGGCAACGGCTAGCTCGGTTTGAAGCGCGAAAAGGGAACCCCCGCCAGCTCAGAGGCAGAGCACGGGCACGGAACGGCTCGGGCTCGCCAGTGGCCACTGATCCGACAAAACCACCGCCCTCGGCGAGCGCTTTCCAGGTGCGAACCCCACCACCAGTCCACCACGCCACGCACCACCACTCGTCCACCACGGCAAGTCAGTCGAGCGCGCGGGCCGCGGGGTGGGGTGGCGCGGCACCGCGCCCGCGCCCTGCTCCACTGACCACTGACCAGTCGGTCGCCATCGGTGTGATTTGCTCGGCTACCGGGGCCAGGCCCGCGCCCACAACCACAGGTCACAGCACAAGGCGGCCAGTTACGCCGCCACGACGATCTGTTTGTCGGTTCCTACTGCTGCCACACACACACTTGCTCCGGCTACGTACACCGTATGATAGTCATGTGTGGATCAACGATTTTTCGCCGTTGTGCTAATGACGGACCAGTGGTCCGTCCAATCCAAGGGCCGGTCGGCGGAAAGGCCTACGCGGTATACGAGCAGAGTGTTGAAAACCCCTTGACGTGACGAGGCTATTTGCTAGGAACGCGTACGCCGTGGCGATGGGAAAGCAATTACGCACGCACGCTATCCGGTGCGAGTAGGATCACCAGTGCTTCGCTAAAAATATGAATGCGGCGGGTGATGCTACGAGATCGCGATCGCCTGCACCCGGTACGCCAATGCCCAACGAGTAGCTAGGTCCTACTAGATACTGTACCGGGGAAACAGATTTCTCGCGTTCGTTTGGCTAGATCAGCACTCGCAATCTGACTGACTGACTGACTGACCCAGTGGAATTGTGTATACTGGTAGCACAAACACGTAGCCCATCAATATACAGATCGTGGTTCATAAATCTACCCATGATGTGCATATCCGGATCCAACAAAAACACCATTTCAATGCGAATTAACCCCGATCCCGGTAAGCCATAAACCGAAAAGGGGAGGAGGAGGAGGAGGAGTACCCCTAAAGGCGCACCACCACGATACATTACTCTGCTCTGCCTGCTACTATAAGTTTCTTGTACGCACGATCCAACCAGAGGCAGGGCAGCGGCAGCGCAGGAGCCGTGCCGCTGCCGCTGCACCCCAAAGCCCCACCACCCACCATAAAACCCCCCACACCACCACTCGCACTCTCGCAGCAGCCAACTCGATCCGCCTCCCTTGGCCAGCACATTTGAATGTGAGAAAGAGAGGGAAACTGCCGCCCAGCAATCAATCTATCCGTCGCCATCGCCGGCCATGCCGAGATCCTCCTCCTCCACCTCCACCCCCGGCTCCGGCTCGGGCTCCAAACCCATCCTGGGGAGGGCGATGGCCACCATCCTGGCGCTGCCGCTGACCCCGATCTCCAAGGCGAAGCTGGGCCTGCTCCTCTTCAAGAAGCGCGCCTCCTCCGCGTCCGCCGCCGCCAGGCGCTGCTGCTGCAGCTACAAGCCGTTCCGCCACTACAACTACGCGTACGTGGGGGAGTACCAGTTCTCGCCGTCCCGCTCCCCGCTCCTCCGGGCCCCGCCGGGCCCCCCCGGCGTCACGGCCTGGCGGAGGGCCGCCGCCAAGAGGCGCCGGAGCAGGGCCAGGGTGATCCTCGCCTCCCTCTTCTGCGGCGCCGACGAGCTCGACGTCGCCGTGCTCGACGGCCTCCAGGCTCGTCGGGGCGGCGACGCCGAAGCGCGCGGGGACAGGGACCAGCTGGTGCTCGCCCCGGCTCTCGAGTGGGGGCGCGAGCGCGACGACGATGCCTACGCCTACAACGACGACGATGGCGACGAGGAGGAGGAGGAGGCGGAGGTGGTGGTGGACTACGGGGAGGAAGGGGACGAGGAGGTGGACGGCCGCGCGGAGCGCTTCATCCAGCGGTTCTACGAGGAGATGAGGCTGCAGAGGCAGCGCTCGCTCGTCCAGCGCCGGCTCTAGACACCTTCCTCGTTTCGTCAGTCCGTTGCTCCTGCTTCCTCGTCGAACTGGGTAGAATCAGTTGGTTGTCGCTGCTATCTTAGCTGCAGTTAATCTCTTCGTGTCTTGCATTTGCGTCGTTCGTGTTACCGTTGGGTTTTCATGTGGTAATTCTGTTGTCCGAGTCTGTTGGGTGTCTGGCGAGACATTCGTCTCCCCTGCTGTAGTCTTTTAGTATTCACCTATAATCCATCCTTACGTGGCAATGTTCGTTTTTGTAGCGTTTTGAGTTTGTACAATTATTACAAATCAATGCGTGCTAGTACCCGTTTTTATTGAGAAAATGGCGATTCTGCCATTGTGAAATCGTGGGCTTCACTCTTTTGTCATTATGTAAATAGGGATTAGCTCGTTTGCCATTATCAAACCAGTCATACCTAATAGACTGCTCTACGACAGATTTATTACCAAATTTAATATTTTTTATCGCGGCATCTTTTCCTTCCCGTTTTGCCCCCAAACCCCATCGATCCTTTTCCATTCACGGTCGAACCAGAGAGAGTCGAGACGGAGAGCTGGGCCAGGGCAACTCCAGGCGCACGCCGCCGCCTCCCCGACGCGTCCGCGCCAGGCCGCCAACGCCGCCCCTACCGTCCGTACCAGGCCGTGGCCGCAGCCCCGACGCGTCCGCGCTCCTTCTCCGGCGTTCCCTTCTCCGGCGCCGGCGTGCTCCTCTCCTCCACCGCCTCTGGCGGTGCTCCTCCCCCGCGGCAAGCCCTCAGGCTCAGGCCACGCCCCTCCACTGTGCCGGCCCTGCTCAGACGCGACCTGCGCCCTCCCTTGCACCGGCCCTGCTCCGCCGCGACCCGCGCCTTCCCCTGCGCCGATCTTGCTCCGCCGCGACCCATACCGCTCCCCTGCGCAGCTGGTGTCCGCGGCCGCGCGGCTAGCCGCGGAGCAGCGATGCCGTCGTTGGGCGGAGCTGGGGCACCTGGCGGGCGGAGTCGGAGCGCCCGGCTGGGTTGCCGTCGGCCGACGCCGGCGGCGGACGCGTGCCGAGGAGAAGCAGGAAGGAGGTTTAGGGCAAAACGGGAACGAAAGTATGGAAAAAGTAAAGGAATAATTAAAAATTGTTATAAATCGGATCTAGGTCATTTTAGCGGGTGTGCTAAGTTTGAGAACGGCAAACTGACGAAACCCATTTGCAATGGCAAAAGAGCGGTTTCATAGATGGCAAAATTGTTATAAATCGGATCTAGGTCATTCGTGTTCATGGATTCTTTGGTTTGGAATTTGGAATGGAGCGGCCACCTGCCAGAGTAGGTAACAGAGCAAATCATGGAAAATGATCAGCATATATAATGTGAGGATAACAAGTCGAAGAACAATTGACGGTCAGCTGTCTCGTATCCTGGATAAATTAAGCTAATTGAGGAGTGCCTTTTTGACAGAGTGCTGCTTCGAGAACTGGCGCTGATTTGTTCTCTAATTCTTGCCTGTTTCCTGCCAAGTTATCATCCTCTCGACCGGACAGTTGACAAGCTGTACAAGCCCAGGAAAATATATATAAATACAAAAATTTACATTTCCGATTCGATTAGTGGTAAAATGGTACTATTTCATTTGCAATCACCATGCCAAAAGGGTTGAACATGTGGATTTTGAATTCTCTTGGTTGCATCGAGATTCAGAGTGGGATCCTAGAGCAGAACATGTACTAACATGGGCAAACTAACGGTCTTCCAATTCATGCTTTTGCTTAGCACTACATCCAGCAAAAGGTGCCTTTTTCATCACACACAACAAAATGTACCCTGGCGTACAATGTTATCAGTAGGGTAAAAAGAGGAGCGACGAAAAGGCCACAAAGATTACGAGACACTTTTAAGCTTTAGCACGTTTCCATTAGTAGAACATACAAAGGGTAAAACAACCGGGAGGCCCTTCAACCTTACATGACTGTACAAAATTTACTGCAGAGAAAAAACAAACATATCCGCAGTATCTTATTTATCCATAATCATGTGAGCAGAAGTCCAAGCGCGTCAATATCTCACATAGAGCAGTCAATACCAGCACAGGTCAACTGCGAACTCACCAACAAGCGCCTCAAGAATGTCGTTCTCGATTGCAATGCTTATATCAAATGCTTCAATCTGGCTAGCATCCCACCTGTCAGTCAATTGGTCCACTTCTTTGTCAGACACTTGTCTAAGAGCAGTCCCACTTGACTCCCTCCAGTTGGTGATATCTTCCAATACCTGGCGTTTCAACAGATCTTTGCTCAAACTGAGAGGCAACTTCAGCCAAGCCTTGTATCCACATTTGCCAAAATTGCAGAATTTTGAATCCAGTGACTCTATAATGCAATCAAACAGGAAGTTGGTATGTTGATACTTCTTATCTTCAGTAAAATCTGAATACTCTCCTCCACTAAACACATCCATAGTATTTTCCAGCATTTCAACAATGAAAGGATGGCGTGGAAGACCTGATGTTGTGCTATGCAAGAGGCTACTGCCCAAAAGCAGTTCAGCATTTGATTTAGCTTCTTCAATGCTGCAGAGCCTGGATTCTAAGACATTGAAATCATGTGAAAGAAAATTCTGTAAACATGGTAACTTGTCATTGCCGTGGAGTGTTTCTTCAGCATCAGTTTTCCTTGTGTCAATTGACATTGCTAAATCGACAATGTCAGACTCCAAATTAAAGAGATCTTCCATCTTGTTCTCAACTGACACAATCAAGCCTTTTCCTTCTGAAAGCAAGAAGATAGAGTTCATTAACACATCACAAGTGCTACTTCTACAGTGCTACCAAAATAACATGAACAAAACTTGTACAGTACCTGCCCAAAACTTACAGGCCCATTCCATTGTACCACACATAGTAATTCTGGACTAAATGCTATCAACTCTAATCAGAGCAGCCAATTACAAGCACTTTTTTTGCTAGAAATGTCGAATTGTAGAACAATTAATAATCTGACTGACAATAACTAAGCATCTGGACCTGGCACAGTTCAGCATTAATTTTCTTAGAGCATGTATAATAAAGGACTGTAAGTGGGCTGTATGTTGAGGTGGAGGAGAGAGAAGAGGAGAAAGAGTGGAAGCAAGCTGGCTTTAGCTTACAGCCGACTTAGACACAAAAATCAAGAAACTTTGTGAGAGAGGCAAGTGGGTCATATATTAATTGTGAAGAGCTAACTACTATAAGAGTGGGCTAAGAGGTAGGCTGTAAAGATTCATAAAGCCAGCAGCAGGCTGTATTATTAACCTTGCTCTTAATGGTTGAGCTCTGACAAACATGCCACTGAATTTGGTACTAGAGTATCCAAGACATGCTACACTTGTCAGTTTTGAGATAGGCAGAATTGGGTTTCTCATTTGACATTTCAGTAATATGTTGGATAACTCCAAGTGCTGACAAACAAAAATGCAAGTACCTACAGAAGACGTCAAGGTAATAGAAATATTTACCATTCTTTTCAACTGGACTTCCTAAAGAAGAAGTGTCATTTGAGAAGGATGCTTCAAGGACTGACGTTGGACTCGGTTGATTAGGCTCATTGTTTAATGATGCAGCAGAAGAATCGACATCTTGTTCACCCTGTACATAGAATGAAAGAGGATGTCCAAATAGTTACCAAAGAGTATAGTAGTTAATTTCAAAAGATTGTACAAAATTGTTCTGGAAGCTACCAGTTTGGTAAATGGTTAATTAAAAAAAGTTCAATAGTGTCTAACTAAACAAAAAACAACTTTGTTGATGAAGAAAACATGCAAAATAGTAAGTTCTATAAAAGTAAGAAAAGGATGTGGATGGCGGATCAACCGTTCATTTGCACAACAATTCCAATGCATCTGACAACTGTATAAGGTTCATTAAAGAATGGTTCATAATGATGACAGATTTAGTTTTGATATAAACTTTTGTGTGGGACCAAAAATCTTCAATGTATAAGAATGCATGTGGAACAACGGTTAACAAACTGTACAAGTAGATGTATGGACTGATAACCTTAGTACCTTACCACATAGGAATGTCATACAGTACATGTTGCTTGAGCAATAGTAACCATCATACAAGTTGATTCCTGTAACACTACATGCACTAAAACTACACCATGTATTTACTAACCAAATTGGAAAAGAAAATGACATGGATAAAAAGACAGTTGTGAATCATCATGATCGACCATAGCAGCATTTACTACAGAAACAACAAATCAGAAACTCTGAAATAATAAGTGGTAACAGTAAAGAAGGATGCTGGCCTCTAAACTGACCTGATAGCATTTCTGAAAATCAGGTGATTGATCATTGGAGAATATACAATGCGGTTGATTGATGCAGTCAACATTTCCATTGCAACTTAAGGGTGCTGATGCACCAGAGTAGTTGCTACATTGGGAGATTGAAGTGCTCATGCCATTTGTAAGGGCAGAAATGAGATCTTGCAGCACATCTACAGTCAATTTTCCTGAAGGTGAATCATCTAGTGTACACTCAATCCTGTCCGACATGCCAAGCTCATTGAATTTTGCTTTCAACAGCCTGTTAAATTCAACTTTCTCAGAAGTAGACATAACAGAAGGTGAAGCTTCAATATATCTTTTTTCAGGAGCCAGCACTCGTGTCCGAGTTGTACCAGGTGCGAGTCTACTTGGGGATCCACTCTTCGACAGATTGCTCCGCGACGAAGCTCTGGCCACTGGCTTTGTAGATGATCTAGAAGCAAATGCAACTGCATTTCTGTCATCTCTGTTACCGATTGCTCTATCATGCCCCATCTTCCTCCCTGATCCCCTTTTATGCGCAGATCCATTGCTTGAAATCCTACTTGTGGACGCTAATCCATTCTGGCTGTTCAAATCCCTGCGGGTCGTGCTCCCTTGTCCACTGATCGATCCCACGAACTCTCTTCTTGAACCAGAACCACCGTGCGCAACCTTCCTAGTAGCAGACACCAATTCACGAGCGCGGCCAACTAGGCGTGTCGAACCAGCCAAGTCCCCA